AAGAGAAGTAGCCCTAGTATTTCAAGTGGGAGATGATGCAGAAAAAGAGAGGAGGGGAGTGTTTAGCTCTTTAAGAAGTAAACTCTAGGAGACTTGGTGACTGATTATGGAGGGTTAGGGAAAGGGAGGAGTTAGGGTTGAGTCCCAGATTTTTGGCCAAAACTTCTGGGTGGAGGGGGCTAGAAACTAGACCAGACCCTGGTCTGCTTACTTACAATCCTGGGCATGGGCTGTGCTGCTCTTTCGAGTAGCCTTTGGCCCGTTAAAGAGGTAACTGGGCCTGTGCAAAATGAGCAGCTCTGGTCTGAGAAAGAAGTGATGCCTGGTCTGTTGCTTCTCTCAGAAGAGAGCTGGAGAGTTTATCTGCTGAGAGTAGAAATAACCTCCTCCTAATTAAGAAGGAGAAGGAGAGGCTATGCTGCTGGCAGCAATACGAGGCTTTTTTTTTTTTTTTTTTAACTTCTGTTTACTCCTGTGAGAAAAGAAGCAGCAAAGCTCTGAGAGCAGGAACTTTAGAAAGGCAAAATACCTCTGATTAGTGTGGGAGTTTGAGAGAGGCTTGCTGGAGAACTCAGAACTGCCAGCTGCAGAGGGAGAACCCCGCTGTGGGGGAGGGGACTGCATGCGGCCGCCCGAGGTGGAGGCTGGACACATTCCTGGGAAAGTTTGGGCGCCAGAGTAAGACTTGACAATTTATTTTTAAAAAATTATAAAGACATTCTAATCAGTCTGTTTATGTTCAAACTTACACTAGGTCATTTGTGATCAATGTTACAAAATGATGAGAAAATACCATATTGGACCTTGCTATTTACTTCTTTAGAAAGTTACTATTACAGAGTATCGGTTTAGATTGTTGAAGCATGACAATTTTTTTTTTTTTTTTACTATTTTAAAAATTATTTTTGCTAATGAAGAAGGGGTAGCAAAGGACTTGGTTTGGCCAAGAAGTGAGAGTAGAACACGTACAGAAAACCCAGTACAAGTTACATACATTTTACATCCACTAGCAAGGTGTAAAGCACACCTCACTGCTTTGAAGAGGCTTTGCTCTGTAACTCACCGAGCCTCCACAGGCCTGTGGTGGAATTCACAGGGTTGATGAACTTGGATGGGAAAAAAGTTATCTTTATTTTACCAAGTTCTAGTAAATGTATTTTTTATTATGAATGAAGTATTCAAAACACAGTAATATTAGCAATAATAATCACCATTAGAAAGCATATCTTTTCATATTATATTTTATTTGTGATACATATCTAAATATATCATTTATGTTTATCTCCACTTTGGATTTATAGTAGTTATTCAGAGCAAATTTTATCAGCCTCACAGCTTGCCAAAGAGGTCCATGCCTGTGAAAGGTTAATAACCCCTGGCTAAGATCGTATAGTTGTGGCAAAAGACCTCCACCTGGTGGCAGCATACTCCTTAAAGGTTAAATCTATAATCAACAGTTGTGAAAAAATTTTTTAAATAACAGTATATTTGAGTATGGTTTTCAAACAGTTTTGACCACAACCCACAGTAAAAAATAGGCTTTACATCGTAACTCAGTACACTCATACAGAAGTTTCACAAAACAGTACTCAACTTTACCATGTGACCCATTGATATTTCTTAATCCCATTTCAAGACTCTTTCATTAAAATAAAATGCCTGTTGCAACATACTAAACTGCAGTTCAGTAAGTCATACTGCAACATTTGACTTCAGAGGAGATCATCTTTCATCATACCTCATGATTTATTGCCCAGCGAACTTCACTTTGGTCTCCCCCAAAATACCCACACATTTTCAGGGACAATACATTTTAAATAACTGTTAACAAATATGAATGTATTTTTACTCAGCATTTAAAAATTTTTTTTTGTTCTTAATCTTCCCCCAACGATATTTTTCCATTGATTTTCAGATAGAGTGGAAGGGAGGGAGAGAAAGAGAGGGAGAAACATCAGTGTCAGACAGATGCATTGATTGGTTGCCTCCCGCACCACCACGACCAGGGCTGGGGATCGAACCTGCAACCCAGGGACATGCCTTTGACCGGGAATCAAACCCGTGACCCTTCTATCTGTGCACCGACACTCCAGCTACTGAGCAAAACTGTCCAGGGCTAAAAAAATTTTTATTATTAATGTATTATTTCTATACCAGGAAAGGAACTGATCTTAGGCACATACCCTATCAAGGTATTTAACATTCCCATCACCACATGAAGTTTTCTTGGGCCCGTTCTCAGTTAGTTTCTACCTAAGCAATTACTCTTTTTTTTTTTAATGTATTTTATTATGTGTTTATATGTATTTTACGGCAATCACTGTTATGATTGCTTTGACCATTGATTTAGTTTTGCTGTTTTAGAACTTTATATAAATGAAAACATACAGAATGTATTGTTTTAGCTCTGCCTCTTTTGCTTAACATAATGTTTAGAGATTAGGCCATGTTGAGTGTATCAGTAGTCTAGCTGAATCAATGAATATATCCATTGAATGAATATACTCCTGTAGATAGACTTGGGTTGGCTTCTGTGTGGGCTGTTATGAATAAAACTTCTGTGAGCATTTTCTTCCAAGTCTTTTTGTATATGCGTGATTTTTCTCTCTCTGTGAATACAGGAGATGGAATTACTGGTTCACTCAGTAAATAAATGTATGTTTATAGAAAACTGACCAACCATTGTCCAGAGTTGTTGACCATTTTACATTTCCACTAGCAATGTGTGAGGTTTGGGTTGCTCCACATCACTGCCGGTTTTTGGTACGTCAGTCTTTTTAACTGTGGTCATTTTGATAGGTATGTAGTTGTATCTCTTGGTGGTTTTCATTTGCATTTGCCTGATGACTGATGTTGAACACTTTTTTTATGTGTTTATTAGCCAGTTGTTTATCTTATTTGTGAAGTGTTTTATCAAGTTTTGGTTGTTTGGTTTTGGGTTTTTTTTGGATTTGTAGGAGTTCTTTACATATTTTGGATGCCCATCTTTTATGTCAGATATATGTACTTACGAATATTTTCTCCCAGTGTATGACAGACATTCATTTTGTTAGTGGTGTCTTTTGATGACCAAAAGTTTTAAAATTTGACCAAGTCCAATTGAACCATTTTTTTTTTCTATATTTAATGCTTTCTGTGCCTGAGTCCTATATGAAAAGAATTTTTCTACCCCAGAGTCAGGAAAATAGTTTGGTTTTTATGTCTGTGTCTGTGCTGTGATCCATCTCAAATTAATTTTTGTGTATGGTGTGAGATAGGTGTCAAGTTTCATTTTATTCCATATTTATAGTTGGTATTTTCACACCATTAGTTGAAAATACTTTTCACCATTGAGTTATAGCACAAAATTTTAAATGAAAAAAAAAAAGTTCAGCCAAACAGGTGCAAAATTGACTTTCTTGTGGGCCATAGACTGGCCCTCTGGGCCTCTTAGACTGCCCTCAACCTATAATCTTGGTCTTTTATTCCCTTCTAAGTTAGGTCTTCCAGAGTTATCCAGAGAGTCTCAGAAATTACTTTCCTCATAAGGTTGAGGATTTATAAGGCTACAACTTTTTACAGGGTCTGTAGCCATACCACAGAGTTGCTAGCCATGTGTGGCTATTTACATTATAACTAAATAACATTTTAAAATTCAGCTTCTGGATCACAATCACCACATTTTAAGTGCTCAGTAGCCACGTATGGCTATTGGCTACCCTATTAACCAGTGCAGATATATAATATTTCCATTTGTTCAAAAGCGCTATATAACACTAGTCTATAGAATAAGAAAGAAAGCAGGCCTTGTACAGTTTTGTAATATGTCCTAATGAATGAAACTTCTGTAGTTTTGATAACTGTCATTCAGCATCTGCCTCCCTCTCCTTGGTTCTTTTCATTTGTTCGCACTTCTTTTTCTATGCCAAGATGTGTTGTTCCAGCCAGTCCTTTTATCTGCCTAAAAATGCAGTAGCTTATGTATTTGTTCTCTCTTACCTAAAAGAAATAATTCTACTGGCTGTACACAGAATCATTCTTTTCTGGAGCCTACCTAGTTCTGACCTGTTTTACTTCTCCAGTGTTTGATAGTCTTCCAACTGTTGCAGGACGCCTGGGCATCCCCCTTCAAGGTGCGGCCCAAAGATAAATATTTTGTCTTTTCTATCCTGATTTAAAATGATATTTCTTGCCCTGGCCAGTTTGGCTCAGCAACTAGAGCATCAGCTGAAAAACAGAAGGGTCAGGGGTTTGATTCCCAACTTTTGTTGGGGTCGTGTAGGAGGCAGCCAATTGATGTGTCTCTCTCTCCCTACCTCCTTTCCACTCTGTCTAAAAAAAACTCAATGGAAAAATATCCTCAAATAAGGATTAACCTCAACAAAAAGGTATTTCTCTTTATAGTGGGTTATGACTCGTAGCCCTGCCCACTACGAACATTTCTAATAGTGAACTTTGTTGCCAAATAAGCAGCCACATAGAACATTTTTTTGTTGTTATTAAACAGGGTTTTTTTTGTTAATCCTCACCCGAGGATATTTTTCCATTGATTTTTAAATAGAGTGTAAGGGAGAGCGAGAGAAGAGAAAGAAACATCAGCGTTAGAGAGACACATCTGTTGGTTGTCTCCCACACCACCCCAACAGGGGTTGAGAATGGAACCTACAACCCAGGTATGTGCCCTTGACCATGTATCGAACCCGAGACCCTTTGGTATGTAGGCCAGTGCTCCAACTGCTGAGCATAACCAGGCAGGGCTAAACAGTTTTTTTTTTGTTGTTTTTTTTGGTGTGTTTTTTAAAATTGATTTTAGAGAGAGAGGAAAGGAGAGGGAGAGACAAAGAAACATTGATTGGCTGCCTCCTGCATGCCCCCTACTGGGAATCAAACGGGTGACCTCTCGGTGCATGGGATGATGCCCAGTCAACTGAGCCACCCCTGCCAGGGCCACATTGAAATTTGTGAGATTTTCTCTCGCTGTTTGCTGGGTTTAAGCTAACTCTGCCATCGCTGTCTTTCAGTGCAGGGATTTTGCTGTCCTGGTGGATCTTCATGTATCGCCTCAAGGTTCAAACAAAGACACCAGCTGGTTTTCTGAAAAGAACAAAGAGGTACCGCAAAACTTTCCACTACCTAAATGCAAGTAGCTACTGCTAGGAGAAATATTAGCTCTTTCAAGCTTTTATTTAATTACTTGACAAAAAATATTGATTGATATTTAACCCTTGAAAAATAGGTGTTATCTTCCCGATGACAGACATATGCCTGCTTTTTATTTTCGTTCAGAAACTGACACATTCATACATTTCATATGCTACTCTATTATTTAAACCAGAAATTTCCTACCTCTTTGTTTTAGGGCAAGGGGGACTGTATATTAAAAGAGGAAGTTAAAGTGATTATTCCAGGTAAGCAGGGATTTTAATCTGACTGGTTGTAAAGACCAGACCAAGCACCTGGAGCAGGTGTGGGGGCCAACACAGGCTGATCTTTCACACCTGTGTGAAATCCCAGTCTTGTGCACTTTTATCTTCTACCATCCTTTTATTAGTTGAGCCTGTGACAACAAGTGCAGAGACGTCTGACAGAGTTCCTTCTCTCACTACACTCAGTCACTACGTGGATGGTCAGTCAGTAAAGCGAATCGCTGTTTGGTAGCATGATGTTCGACCTCCCTGGGCCTCCGTCTCCTCATCTGTGATGAAAGTGTTTCACCAAACGCTGTCTGAGTCATTCCTGGCTCTGTATCCGCTCTCCCACCCAAGTGCTGCCTTGGGAGAGGGTTAGAAGGTGCATCAACTCTCCTCACGTGCTGTGCTTCCTTCGTCAGATCCCTGCTCACTAGGGCATAGAGATGGCAAGGCAATCAGTGACTTTTACTTAACTTTCAAAGTATTGCACACTTTTTGTGTCTGTGATATTCATTTTTCACAATAGGTTCTTAGAGCTAGAAATAAAAGTAAGTTATATTGAAAGATGGTGCATGGAGAGACACTAGTGCTAATCACACACACACCCCCCTTTACTGTGATAACTTTTTAGTCAAATTTTGGAGATCACTAGAAAGGAAAATCTCCCTAAAAGAACACTTTCCATCAAAAGGTGACAAAATTATTAGGACTGTGCTGTCATAATTTCAAAACCATAATTGGTAGCCTAGAACTGGGAGAAGGAAGGCACAAGATTCTTTATGATGGGAAATATCATTCAGGTAAATAACCGTACACTGTTCTCATCAAGACTTAATATTTTGTAGGCGAGCATCTCCCACTACAACTCACCTTCATGCAGTTCCAAGCTTTGACTCACCAACACATGTCCCCATGATTTGATTCAAAACAGTTCATTTCCCCAAAGTGACTAATATTCACCTGAGGGTACCTCACCCAAAAGGCTTCTGACTTGATTTATATTAACAGCATTCTAGAATCCAGATTTTCCTCCATCCTCTCCCAACTTTACCACCTTGGCCTTAGACCTTTCTGTTCATATTCAGTCAGTTTTGCCGAGTCAGAGTATTTGGAAGGCTTTAAAATAAAGCTCTGAGTATGTGAATCACCTCCTAGCCAAAGCAGGAAGCTAGATTTTTCCAGGGTGCCACACACAGCTGCGCTGCTCCACCTAATACCTGCATCCAGCAGCAGGGCGTGACTTAGCAGAGGTGCTCAGTGCACGACTGGACCTGCAGAGCTCATTGAGGGGCAGCTGCGAGGGGTAGGTCATGCCAGCAAGCCAAGCTTTGCTCCAGACGCGGAGTTCCTTTAAGTTTCTTTAAAATATATTCGCTGACGTTAAAAATTATTCTGGGATAGTTATGTGTGTGGGTGGGGAGAGAAAGAAAGAGGGGGAGAGAGAGAGAGAGAGACGGAGAGAGGAGGGAGGGAAAGAGAAAAGCTAGTCAAGAGGAGTACTAACTGTATGACTCCAGCCTATGTTCAGTGTCTCCATGCTTTCATTTTTTTATCATTGGATCATCTCATGATTGAGATTTCATGAGCAATCAGTTTGGTTGCATTTTAACAGTCACTTTATATAGTAAAGATCTTAAGAATATACGGTTCCTTTTCAGAAAAAGGAACTAATTACATGTATTAAACATATGTTTATTTTGAGTCTAGCACAAGTAGTCTGTGTACCCAAACAGTTTAACTCAAACTGTTCCATTTGTAAACTTGAAAAAGCAAACATGAGCCCCTGTTAGCCTAGAGATTCCATATGTATCTCTCTCTTGCTCATTGATTTTAACTTGGTCTTCTCATCTGCCCCTCCAGTTTAGCAGGAAACATGTCTTCGTGTGCTTTGCTTTGGTTCAGAAAAGAATGCTAAGTGTGGTGTGGTCAGTTACTGGGGTATCTTGACTACATTGCTCATTGTCTACCTTCCGTTCGTCAAACCTGATTTATCGAAGGAAAGCCCTATAACTATAGGGAGAAAGTTTATGTGCATGTCCTTTGCTTTATTTTTGTCATGCTATTTTTAGTTCTAGCCTTATAGGGCATTTATGGCCAAATTTTAGCAATCCTTATTTCCATGTATGTCTTTCACATATTTTCAGGCTCAGTCATACCGAACCCTGCATGTGAAGCAAAATGTTTTAATTGTTAAAACAACAGTATGAGGCAAGGCTGCCTCTCTGTTGTATGAACAATGCCAAAACTTCCACTGTAAGTGGATATCTCTGTATTCCACAAGGCACTGCATCTTGGGGCTGCAAAAGGAGAGCAGGAGAGAGGGGACCAGTTTTGTATTTTATCTAGAAACTCACATTTGTGAGTTAAATCTAGTGTTTTCTAGACTGCGGAGTACATGTGTTTACAATAAAAGTGAAGTTTGGTTCTCATTCCCCTTTGAAGCAGCTTAAAACTTTGTTCTTGTTTTAATTTATAAAGATTCTAAGTGATCAACCTGAGATGGCATTGCAAGAACCAGTGAAACAGGTTTGAGATGACTTTGGCAACTCAGCCTTCTTCAGAATCTTTGGGAATTAAATAAGAATTATCAGTCCCTATGCATCACTTCTTAATCTAAGAAATTTAGATCGCTGTGCAGTTTTCCTTTTCCTACATTGTTATACTTTTCTGGTAGCATAGCTAATGTGGACAGTATCTTCCCAATGCATAGTTGTACTTTTAAAGTTTTGTTTTTCTTTTTATAAATAACATTGATACATAAAACAATAAACAGCTCCAGAAATTTGCTAGTGATATGGTATGTGGACATTGAATTAAAACCATGTGTTTCTGTTACCTAATAAACATTAATCTACTGTAAATAAATATGAGAAGTTAAATTATTTTCAGCATTAATACGTGAATATAGTACAGTTTTCACAAAAGCAAATGCATATATACAGTATTATCAACAAGAGTATGGAAGAAAATCAGATTACTGATTTCCAGTTCTCTATTCAACCCACTACTCACTGCTATTCTCTTTTTCAGTAGGTGTGCTAACCTGAGGCCAGAAACTAATGGATGGCGGTGTTTAGAGTTTAAGTGTTTTGAACCACATTTTAAAAACGGGAAATTTGTATATAAAATACAAGTTTCTGGTTCCTCTTGAACAAATTGGAGTTCTGGGGAAACTGTGCCTGCAGTTATGCCCACATGAAGCCGTGGGGCTGCCTCGTTGGCTGAGTTGGTGTCGAGGTTCCCTCTCAATGCACCCTGGCTCCTGGCTTTTTCCTTCGTCCACAGGTCCCTGCCTGGCCACAGTGGACACTTCCCCGGCCCGCACTCACTCTCGCTGTCACAATACAACTGATTGATGTTTATATGAAAACAGTCTTTACCTCACCGATTCCATCACCTTGGCACTCTAATTTTTAAAAAATTTTAAGTTGATTTTAGAGAGGAAGGAAGGGGTAGAGAGAATAAAAAGGGAGCGAGGGAAGGAGGAATATCAGTGTGAGAGAGATACATTGATCAGTTGCCTCCCTTACTCGTCCCGACCAGGAATCAAACCTGCAACCTTCCAGTGCTCGGGATGACACTCCAACCAACTGAGCCACATCGTCCAGGGCTGGTACTCTAATTTCTGCACCAAGGTGTTTTTATCTTCCTTTTAGAAATGTGAGACTAAGGCAGAAGGAAATTAAATGAATTTCTCAGATCATGGAGTGAGCCAACAAACCTTAGTAGTAGCAAATGTGCATCGGCAGTGTTATCCATGAGCACATAAAACTTTCCTTTCAGCATTCATAGCTAATTAAAAAAGCAAACAAAATGAAATGTTCACTGTTGACTTTTTAATGTGTACGGTTGACTTTTTTTGGCATTGCATTAAATTAGAAAGTTATCTCTAATTTTTAATTTACTATAGGAAATCTGTTTACTGTTAAAAGAAACCATTAATTCAAGAGTTAAGGAGTACTTGGAAGTTCGTAAACAGCGCAGGCCATCAAATACAGAATTCACAAGATCCAGTCCCTTGTCCTTAAAAGGTAGGCACAGAGTACTTTCATTTTGGATAAAATGTCTGTTTTCTAGAAATGACAATTATGTTTGACTCTGGCTGTCATGTTAGTAAAGTGATACATTTAAAAAATGTGTTCTAATGAAGATGCTTTGTTTGAGTAAAGAAAATTAAACCCAAAGCCCTGAGGGGTTTTTAATGGTAGGCAAAATCTATGAAAATAGAAAATAAAACATTCTTAAGGAAACTTGACATTTTTAAAAGGATATATTTTTAGAAGTAATCTTATAAAAGGATTTACATTAACACTGACCTGATTTGGAGCATTGTGCTGTTTTTAAGTGTTTTCATGTATGTCACTCAATTTCAGACGTTCTCAACTGGGGTGAATTTTGCCCCAGGGGATATTTGGTAATGTCTGTAGACAGTTTTGGTTGTCATGCTGGGGTGGGAGCAGTCGCCTGGGAACTACAAGCATCAGTAGAGGCTAGGGATGCCACAAAAGACCCTACAGTGCACATACTCCCTCCCCCAAAACACACACACACACACGCACACACACCCGCATGTACACACACCCACACACACCCACACACAGCAAGGCCTATGTGGCCCAGAACATCAAGGGCACTGAGGTTGAAATATCCTGCCTTATTTCCTAATAACACTTTGAGAATGGTAATGTCTTTGAGTTACAGGTGAAGAAGCTGAAGATGCGCAAAATGAAGGGGCTTGCCCAAACAGAAGATCTTGCTGTTGAGGACAGATTATCTTGTATATTTGGCATTTTCATTCTCCCTTCTCCTCCCAGTATTTAGTGCAGAGCCTGCTACACAGACTCAGTGACCACTGCTCTTTCCGGTCTGTCATTGTTGTGTTTTAAATTTTTTTACTAAGTCAGTGTTTCATAGCACTCTTTGTGGTACAAATACAGTCAACCCCGTGTTAATCTCACAGAACAGTGCTGGACTAGTGTGAACTAGATTATGCTGCTACAAACATCTCTTTAGGAAAGAATGGGGTTAAGTACCTCCCATTGAAGGCATACTTGATCTTACATGTTTACCTGGTGAAGCTGATAAGTAGGCAGCCATTAAGTTTACCCAAACTGAAAGCCTTGAATAAATGGAATTTTTAGTCCAAGCAATATTGTATTGGATGATACTTTCTGGTTTTTTTGCTTAGCAGTAGTATAAATCTTGAGAAAAGTCAGTGGAGCTTGCATTCTTTGTAGCACTCTTTGTACCTGAGCAGATGTGGCTAGTCTCCTCTTCTGACTGGTACAAAGGGAAAAGGAACAGAGTGGGATTCAAGGCATCCATCCCTGGTGGGGCAGTGGCTTGGTCCGCCAACTAGCTTTCCTTTCCTACTCAGTGAATAAAGCTAAATGCTCGATTTCCCAGCCCCTCACAGATAGGGAAACATTTCTAGTCCCAAGATGAAAAGCAAAGCCTTTCTTGGCTCATGTGGACAAGAAGATTGTTTTTAAACAGAAACGTGATCTTACTATACAGACAATTTTATAACCTATTTTTCCACCTTACATAATATAGAACTTTAAAATACATACATCACCTTTTTAAAAAACTTTATTTTATTATGCTAAATTATACATAACATGAAATTTATCATTTTAACTATTTTCAAGTATATACTATAGTGGTATTAAGTATGTTCAGAGTGTTCTGCAACTATCACCAACATCCGTCTCCAGAACTTTCTCATCATTCTAAACTGAAACTCTTTGCCCATTAAATAATTACTCATTACTCCTTTCCCCAGTCCCTGGCAGCCACTATTCTACTAATATATATTTTTGGTAACCATTAGTAAACGTGTGTGTGTGTGTGTATAATATATAAATATACAGTCATTCACCACATAATGACATTTTGATCAACAATGGACCACATATATGATGATGGTCCCATAAAATTATAATGGAGCTGAAAATTCCTATTGCCTAGTGATGTCATAGCCATCCTAACGTCTCAGTATAACACATTACTCACTTGTTTGTAGTGATGCTGATGTAAACAAACCAGTCTGCCAGTCGTGTAAAGGTAAAGCACATATAGTTATAGTTGTAGGCTATACCATCTAGGGTTGTGTAAGTACACTGTGTTGTACACACGATGACAGCATCACCTAAGGACACATTTCTCAGAATGTATCCCTGCCATTAGGCATTGCATGACTGTGTATATAATAATATATATCACATTTTGTTTATGTATTCATCTGTCAGGGAAGTAGTTGGGTAGTTAGGTTGTTTCCACCTTTGACTGTTGTGAATAATGCTACTGTGAACAGACACTAGTGTACAAATATCTGGTCAAGTCCCTGCTTTCAGTGCTTTGGGTATATATTTAACCCAAAAGTGGAATTGTTGGATCATTTGGTAATTCTGTGTTTAATGTTTTGAGGACCTGCCATGTTGTTTTCCACAACAACTGTACCATTTTACATTCTCACCAACAGTACACAAGGGTTCCAATTTCTCTACAACTTTGCCAACATTTATTTTCTGTTATTTTGAGTACAGCCATCCTAATAGGTGTGAAGTGGTATCTCATTGTGGTTTTGATTTGCATTTTCCTAATAAGTAGTGATGTTGAGCATCTTTTCATGTGCTTCTTGGCCATTTGTATATCTTCTTTGGAGAAATGCCTGTTTATGTCCTTTGCCCATTTTTCAATTGGGTTGTTTTTATTTTTAAGTTGTAGGAGTTCTTTATATAGTCTGGATATTAATCTTTTATTAGATACATGATTTGCAAATATTTCTCTTATTCTGTGGATTGCCTTTTCATTCTCTTGGTAGTGTCCTTTGACACACGTTTTTGTTTTTATGTTTTTCCTTTATTGATTTTTCAGAAAGAGGGAATGAGAGGAGAGAGAGATAGAAACATCCACGAGAGAAAGCATCGATTGGCCGCCTCCTACATGCCCCACACTGGGGATTGAGCCCACAACCTGGGCATGTGTCCTGACTGGGAATCAAACTGGCAACCTCTTGGTGCATGAGTCGATGCTCAACCCCTGAGCCATACCAGCCGGATGACACACAAATGTTTTTAATTTTGATGTAGCCAGTTTGTTTATTTCTTCTTTTGTTGCCTATGGTTTTGATGTCATAGCCAAGAAATCATTGTTGAATCCAATATCATGAAGCTTCTTTCACTTTTTTCTTCTAAGGGTTTTATAGATTTAGTTTTTACATTTAGGTCTTTGATCTAGTTGGAGTTAATATTTATATATGGTTTAAGGTAAGGATCCAATTTCACTCTTTTATAGGTGGATATCCAGTTGTCTCAGCATAATTTGTTGAAAAGCCTGTCTTTTCCCACATTGAATAGTCTTGGCACCCTTATCGAAAATCATTTAATCATAAACATGAGGGTTTATTTCTAGGCTGTCTGTTCTATTCCATTGGTCTATATGTTGATCTTTATGCTGCACCACACTATTTTCATTGTCATAGCTTTGTAGTAAGTTTTGAAATTAGGAAGTATGAGTCTTCTGACTTAGTTATTGTTTTTCAAGATGGTTTTGGCCATTTGGGATCCACATCACCATTTTTAATGACCGCCTAGTATAAATATTCATTCTCTAATTTATTAGTCAGATATTTAGGTGCATCTAATATTTAATTTTCATTGTGATAAAGCATGGTGCAGTGAACATCCCAATGATAATATATTTGCAAACTTCAATTTTTATAGTATTTCTAGTTTAAAGTTTATATCTTTATTGGCATGCAAGAGTTTCTTAAGGATATTAATGCTTTGTATGCTATATATGTTCCAATGATTTTTCTCAGTTTCTCATTTGCCTTGGACTTGGTTTACTAACCGTACAACCCCAAACAAGCAGAAACCTTTATTTGCCTCATGGAGGTTTCAGTGACTGCCAGCAGGATGCATGCTGGGCTTCCTTGCAGTGAGGTAAGTAGTGCAGTTGATTGCCAGGATGAGCTCATGTAACCACTCTTCAGAAAGTAGTTGTGCTAAGTATTCCTTTTTGAAAGTAAACTTGGTATGAAAGCATCATCTTTCCTCTCCTTCCTACCTCTGATAAGAGTTAACCTTTAAGTGAGCATATCTTTTGATGTTCACATTTTAGCTAATCCCCTTTTGTGTTGCCACCAACCAGTCCAGTCCATCCTTCTGCCTCACCTGGATACCTGGACAACTGCCGTAGCCCCCTAGCTGGCTTCCTTTCATCATCTGTGGTCAGTGCTCCACTTACTGTTAACACTTCAGTTGGTGTAATCCCTTAAATTATAGGTCTAGTCTTGTGCACCTCTGCAGTCCTTGAGGATTTTCCCAAGGCTCCCAGGATGAAGGCCAAGATTCCTGGGGTGGCTGCCTCTCCAGCCTCATCTTGCACCACTTTTCCTTCCTCCAACAATAGCAAACTTCATTTCTTTCTTCTAGAGCCTCATTTTTCTGCTAATGGTGGGGCCTCTTGCCCCTGTCTTTCCCTTCCCCTATGCCTCCTTCCCAGCTATCTGCTCAAAGTCTCTTCCTCAGGGAAGCATATCCTGTCGACAGGTCTCCTTTTTCCAGGTCCATAAGCATCCTGAACTTTTATTCACACTATTTGATTATTGTCTTATCTCTCCACAAATGTGCAAGCCACCCAAAGACAGGTTCTGCGTCTTCTGTTATCTGTGATAACTCCAGCATGGAGCACGTTTCCTGGCTGGCAGTAGGTACTTAATACATGTGTGTTCATGTGAAAAATTACATACATGGTTATATTTTTCCCCTTTCTAGTAAGGTCAAGGCCTGCCATAACATACCTGTCCTGCTGCTTCCTTTTCTCTTTTCTGCAAACCTACATTCTTTAGACCTCAGTGCCTTTGCATTTATAGGTTTCTCCTTTGTCTGGAAGCCTTTTTTTTTTTTTTTTTTAACTTTTAAAACCTAACTCAAATATTACTTTTCCAAAGTCTGCTTCAGTTTTCACTCTTTCCACTTAACACTTTTACAACATTTGACACATTGTATCATAATTGAGTTAT